AGGCTGGTGTAATATACTGGAATCTAGAGACATTCCATATGGCCAGTATTCCCCACAGGATGTTTTCTGAATGCTAGGGTGATAGAGACTGTGGATTGGACTGGAGAGGCAAAGTAATGTTTCCTGTAATCTTGCAGTACTTAGGAGACAATATACCAATAAAAGAAGAAGCTTAAAACAGACATTTGAAATCAGAAGTAGACTAAATCTAACTAAAGCTGTGACCAAGCACTGGCCAAGCTCAATTCCTAATTGAATTCGTGTGATCTGCCCTTCTTGTTCTCTGCCCAACTAAGGAAAGGGTAAACTATCTCTGGGAGAAAATAACATTAATTTTAGTATCTATAGATCTTATATATGTAATTTCTGTCATACAATTTAAAAATGTACAAAAATTACGAGACTTGTAAAGAAGAAGGAAAATATGGGGCGCCTGGGTGGCTCAGTCGTTAAGCGTCTGCCTTCGACTCAGGTCATGATCCCAGGGTCCTGGGATCGAGCCCCGCATTGGGCTCCCCACTCTGCGGGAAGCCTGCTTCTCCCTCTCCTACTCCCACTCCCCCTGCTTGTGTTCCCTCTCTAGCTGTCTCGCTCTCTGTCAAATAAATAAATAAAATCTTAAAAAAAAAAAAAAGAAGAAGAAGAAGGAAAATGTGACCAGTAACCATGAGGGAAAAATAGACAGTAGAAGCAGACTCCAAGATCATTCAGGTATTGATGTTAGCAGGCCAGAGCTTTAAAATTACTATTATAAATATATTAAAGAAAACAGAAAATTTGGACAAAATGGATGAAAACATGAATAATTTCAACTGAGAATTGGAATCTATATAAAAAGAGATTCAAATGGCACTCTAGAACTGAAAAAATATATATGTGAAATCTGAAATTGGGAACTGATCACATGAGTTTAAGAGCAGACTGGCAAAGACAGGATTAGTGAATGCAAAGACAAGTCAATATAAAGCACCCAAAATAAAGCCCAGAGAGTGAAATAAAATGGAAAGAAGAGAAGACTGTAAGAAACATTTACGATGTAAAGAATGTCTAACATATGCAGATTTGCAATCCCAAAAGGACAGGAGAGTGGGAATTGGAAAGAAACAATATTCAAAAAGATAATGGCTGAGAATTGTCCAAAACTGGAAAAAGATTTAGTTGAGAATTCCTATCAACCCCAAGCAATATAAATACTGAGAAACGTGTATTTATATCCATCATGATAAAACTGCTCAAAACGGATAAAGAGAAAAATCTTTAAAGGAGCCAGATTAAAAAAAAAAAAAGATACTACATTCAAAGAAGTCACAACAATATATCAAGAGCTGAATTTTAAACAGGAATTATGGGAGCAAGGAAACAATGGGACACTATCTTTAAAAAGCTGAAAGGAAAAAAAAAAAAAAACAACAAAAAACCAACACTACTATTTAGAGTTTTAAACCCAGTAACAGTATCTTTCCAAAGCCAAATGAAATAAGTGCATTTTTCAGACACATAAAAGCTGGGGTAATTACTCACCAGCCGATCCACATTATAAGAAATCCTGCAAGACATTCTTCAAACTGAAGAAAAATAATCTCGGTAGAAGCCTACTATTAGAAGCAGGAATAAAGGGCACAGAAAAGAATATTGAAATCTCTGGAGCAATCACTAAAAGAATAATACAAAGAGATATAAAAACAGAAGAATTAATAGAAGAGATGAAATGGAGTAATTCAAAGTACTTGACTGAAACATTTCAATGGGTCTTCATTTCTGATAAAATAAATGCCAAGGGCTTTAGCATAGTACACTAGGTGTTCCATGATCTGGCCCCCATTTACCTATCTAGCCTTGATTCTCATCGTGCCCCTTCTAGAACCTAGTCACTTGGAACTACACGTAGCTCCCTTAGCACTCGTTACTCATACCACCTTACATTTGCATAAGCTACTCCTTTGCCAGAAATATCATCCCCCTTTTTTTCTTAACTGACTAATAGCAACTTGACTTTTAGTGTCTAGCTTGACCTAATAAGGTTTCTCCCAAAAAACCATCTATGAATCTCCCTGTGGTCCCACGGTAGCCAGTGCATATCTCTATCACAGCCCTGGGTGTAAAACATAATTATTCATTTCCTTACCTATTTTCCCCACTAGTCTTCAAGATCTTTGAAGGCTGGGCCTCCACATGTTAACTCTTTGTCTTCAGCCTCCAGCACAGGGGCCAGCCTGTGCACAGAGGCATTTAGTATCTACCTCAGAAAAGGCTAAACACATAAGTGAGTGAACATTATTGCAGTATCTGCAAGTTGAAGACCCTAGGATATTATACAAAGCCCGTTACAATCCTCTGCCTTCCTCAAGACCTTTATTTCTAAAAAGCATACCAGTAGCTCAAACTCAACACATTCTAAACTCAACTCTACTCATGTGTGTCAGACTCACTTCCCTAACATCTCCCAGGGCAGCCAACTCGGAATCACGTGGACTTCTGCCCTACTTCATCCCTGATGTGCCTTTCCTTACACTATTTCCTTGATCTTGACTCCCTTCCTCCTCCTTCACCCTGCAGACTCCTGCCCTTCCTAAGTGTGTGACCACCACTCTGCATTGATTCCTATGCCCCAGTCACAATGCATCTGGCTTCTCCCTTGGTGCGCCCACGGAACATGGTGTCACATGTCATGCATTCCGTTGTCTTCAAAGTCTGCATCTGTCTCTCCCTTACATTGGTGGAACTTATTAAAAAAAAATAAATAAATAACTGGTGGCGCCTGGGTGGCTCAGTCATTAAGCGTCTGCCTTCGGCTCAGGTCATGATCCCAGGGTCCTGGGATCAAGCCCCGCATCGGGCTCCCTGCTCGGCGGGAAGCCTGCTTCTCCCTCTCCCATTCCCCCTGCTTGTGTTCCCTCTCTCGCTGTGTCTCTCTCTGTCAAATAAATAAATAAAATCTTTAAAAAAAATAATAATAATAACTATTTTCCCTTGCAGAGAAGGCAGGTAAGTGAAAATACTGAAAAGAGAGCAAAGGATGAAAAGCTGAAGAAGAAAATTAAAAAAAAAAAAAAAAACAGAACTGTGGAAATTACGGGAAAAAATTATATTGCAAAATCCAGGAGAAAAAACATTTCTTTGAAAATGTGTTAGAGTATTTCAGTATGTCCATCCAGCCATCTACCCCCACCCCCCATCTCTCCACAAGCACATCCACCTGCCTGTAAGGAAGAATTCTCCCGCTGCAGACTGTACAAGGCTCCTCACAGGAGCTCAGGAGCTTACACCACTGAGGAGAGGTGTTTGCTGCCCTCACTGTTGACCTCTCCCACCTTCTTGCTCCCCAGCGTTTGCATACTCCCTGTCTTCTATTTCTCTTCTCTCAGTTCTGATTGCTCCATCTTGGTTTCCTCCCCTGGGCATGTTCTATGTCCCTACTGTCTTTTTTTTTTTTTTAAGATTTTATTTATTTATTTGAGACAGAGAGAGAAAGGGATGGGGAGGGGCAGAGGGAGAGGGAGAGGCAGGCTTCCCGCCTAGCAGGGAGCCTGATGCGGGGCTCAATCCCCACGACCCTGGGATCATGACCTGAGCCAAAGGCAGACGCTTAACAACTGAGCCACCCAGGTGCCCCTATGTCTCTACTGTCTTTACACTTTGTCCTGGCTCTGTGGATCTTTTCTTACTGTCTGTTCCCCAGATCTCTTCTGTCTGTGACTCAAGAGGATAAGATAAGTACTTCCCACATTTATTTTTAAAAGACGAATCATCCTGGGTGGGGGAAAAATTGGGATGACAGACTGAAAGCCCTGTCAGATGCATAAATGGTTATATAGAGCCCCGAAATTTATGGATTCATGGTTTTAAAAGAAATGAGCAGAAACCATTAGATGACCCTCATGAGACCAAATAAATGATTATAAGTTTAGAAAAGAAAAACTCTTGAGTAAAGGCAAAAGAAAGCTGAGAATAATTAGACTGGAAACTATGGCAATGAGGAATGACAGCTGTACCTTGCTCCCAAGTGGAATTTCAAAAAAAAAAAAAAAAAAGTTGACCAACTGTTCTCCTTTCCCGGAGGGAACCAAGTGAAGACAAGAGGCTGAACCTTCCTCCAGTGTGGACATACAGAAACGCCTCCCTCCTGCAAGGGTTATTATTTCTCTCAAGGATGATGTTGAACCCTCATCTCTGAGGATTTGAAAAGTTCAGAAACCACAGATCTCAGATGGTTCAAGTGTAGTTCTGATTTTTTGACTGTGACAAGTTGGAAACATGCACTTTTCATTAATTATTTTAAATGAGTTCCCTGCAGTGTCCATATGCTCTCTGAGTGCCTCACTGAGATTCAGGTTGTGCTTCGTGCACTCCCGTAGGGCCCCTCCATGCGGGTAGGATTTCTGTGCAGACCCTGTTCTTCAAATCCTTAACAACTTGGAAGCCTATAACCATCTGAAAAAGAGAACATTCTTCTGCACACCTTGTTTCTGAACCTTCAGAGACCATTCACTTCTATTTTTCTAAGCTAAGCTTTCTTGTCCTTTCATTTTCTAAGCTTGGCACTGCAGCTGGGAGTCTCTAATACAATGTACATTAAGTAGCCTCTATTTATAGTGTTCCATCTGAAAAGAAGAAAGACCAGATTGTCAGAGACCCTGTTCTCAAGCAGTCTTAGGATAGCTCTGTCTCTGGTATCAGTTTTGAAAACGAAGATTATTTGGGGGAAGGGGTCCTCATCCATGGCAGGCTCAGACTGTGTATTCATGGCATTCTGACTTCAAAAAAGTGACAAGATGAAAATATTCTTTTAATGTATTCCAGCCTGTTGGCTGCCCTTTTTGAGAGCACAGATCAGCAGCTGAGCTATAAATCTTAACAGTCAAACCATGCTTCCTTCCATGGCAACCTACAAGGCAAACGTATTACTCCCATGCTCTCCGGCTCTGTTTTTTTTTTTTTTTTTTGAGTGGTTGAGTTTAACAGGGAGAGAGGACTAAAGGGGATGGTGGCTGAGGACTCACTCTCAGAGAGCAATGGAAGCTCTGGAATTTGGGAACACTCCTCCTCTGGCTTTTCTCTAAAGTATGTCTCCAGGTCCAGAAGAAAAGCTGGTTTCTTCACTTCAGGCAGCTCTTTCAGGGCTCCGATGCTTAATGACCTAAATGCACCTTCGTAACAGTAGGTTTTAGGGGAGGCTAGGAAAAAAGCACAGTGTCATTAATTCCTCAGAAGGAGCTAGCACATTTCCAAGTTAACTTTTGAAAATGTAACCTTCCTGTTCCTCAGCTGCTACAGCTGCAGCGATCAGCAAACCCTATAAACACAGCTGTTCGTGATAAATCTGCGGCCCTTTGATTCAAAGGGACCAAAAGGAACTCAAGGCTCCCCTTTCATTTATTTTTTATTTTGTATTCTTTTGCTATTTTCCCTTGAAAATGTATATTTTACAGTGTTGGAAAAGCTCCAGTTTCTCTTTTATCTATCAGGAAACTGCATCTTTTGTAAGATGGAATCTTGTTTTTAGCATTTGACAACATATCGGAAATTTTGAATTTGCAGGTACTTTTTAATTTCACTAACATGTAACTCATTGTATTGAAGATGCATGCAATGAGATGATGAAAAGGAAAGCTTGTTTGTTCATGCACTTAAAAGCAAAGTCTTGGACAATGGGAAAAAGTTTTCTTTTTGCTTCATGGCATAAAATGGAAAAAGCTTCACTCAAGATGTGATATTAAGGGGGCGCCTGGGTGGCTCAGTTGGTTAAGCAGCTGCCTTCAGCTCAGGTCATGATCCCAGAGTCCTGGGATCGAGCCCCGCATCGGGCTCCCTGCTCGGCGGGGAGCCTGCTTCTCCCTCTCCCTCTGCCTGTCTCTCTGCCTACTTGTTCTCTCTATCTCTCTGTCAAATAAATAAATAAAATCTTTAAAAAAAAAAAAAAGATGTGATATTAGGTTTGTTTGATTGTTAGCCCTGCAAAGGTAGGGACTGTGCTTTTGTCATCGTGGTGGCTCAGTATCTAAGGAAAGTGAACCAATACATATTCAGCACTCACTATGGGACAAGTCATGTGCTGTCAGTGGTTCTCAAATGTAACCAGGCTTCGCAATCCCCTGGAGGGTTTGTTAAATCATACCCTGCTATACATCCTTCCCATTTCCGATTTAGTAGGGTAGGGATGGGGCCCCAGAATGTACACTTCTAGGTTCCAGGTGATGCTCATTCTGCTGGCCATGGAACATACTTTAAGAATCAATGTGTTATGTTAAACCAAAGGAGAAATATTCACAACCTGTAAAAGTATCATTATGCCCTTCTGACAGATGAGGAAATTGAGGCTGAAGATACTTTAATAACTTGCCTGAATTTGGCTATCTAGCACATAGCAGCTTGGACTTAAGCTCAAGTATGTTTCACTCCAAAGGTCATGCTCCAAGGTATAATAGTAATAACAATAACATTAGTAATTAGTAATTGTATCAAGTTTCCATAATATGCCAGGCACTGTTGTAAGTACTTTACACATATTATCTCATGTAATCTTACAAAAACCCTATGGAGTAGATTAGTTTATAAATGTGCATTGCAGGGCGCCTGGGTGGCTCATGGTTAAGCATCTGCCTTCGGCTCAGGTCATGATCTCCAGGTCCTGGAATCGAGTCCCACGTCAGGCTCCCAGCTCAGCGGGGAGTCTGCTTCTCCCTCTGCCTCTCCCCCTGCTTATGCTTTCTCTGTCTCTTTCAAATGAATAAATAAAATCTTTTAAAAAAATAAATTAGGGCGCCTGGGTGGCTCAGTCATTAAGCGTCTGCCTTCGGCTCAGGTCATGATCCAGGGTCCTGGGATTGAGCCCCTCATTGGGCTCCCTGCTCGGCGGGAAGCCTGCTTCTCCCTCTCCCACTCCCCCTGCTTGTGTTCACTCTCTCGCTGTCTCTCTCTCTCTGTCAAATAAATAAGTAAATAAATCCTTAAAAATAAATAAATAAAAATTAAAAATTAAAAATGCATTGAATATTAAATAATGATGTACATTTTGGCAGCAAAATTTCAGTAGAAATTCTAAAATTAACGTATCTACTCTACAAAACTACAGCTACCTCTTGGACATAAGTTTGTTTTTTTTTTTTAAAGATTTTATTTATTTATTTGACACAGAGAGAGACAGCGAGAGCAGGAACACAAGCAGGGGGAGTGGGAGAGGGAGAAGCAGGCTTCCCGCCGAGCAGGGAGCCCGATGTGGGACTCGATCCCAGGACCCTGGGATCATGACCTGAGCCGAAGGCAGACGCTTAACGACTGAGCCACCCAGGCGCCCTCTTGGACATAAGTTTAAACAAGACTGGCAATGAGTGAAATATTTTCATATGATGGAGTTTGGGGAATTATTCTCACCACACTTCTGTTTTTTAAGATTTGTTTATTTGTTTGAGAGAGAGAGTATGAGCGTGTGTAGAGTGGCAGAGGGAGAGAATCCTCAAGCAGACCCCCCCACCCCCCAAGCCTGACTCAGGGCTGGATCTCATGACCCTGAGATCATGACCTGAGCTGAAACCAAGAGTCAAATGCTTAACCAACTGAGCCACCCAGGAGCCCCTCTTAGTACACCTCTAAACAATACCTTTCAGTATGATAACAATTCTTTTGTTTCAGTTACTTTTGTTTTATAATTTTTTTTCTGGTTAGCCCAAACTAAACTCGTATTGGGCTTCCTTAGAGCAAAAATAGTTTTTATTCATTTTCATCTCTTCAACACTTACGGGAGAGAATTGACGTTCTGTGCTAACCCTATTTTGGAAGCTATAATGGGCACTTTACATGTATTTTCTGGCTTAGACCTTATACTTCTGCCATTTATATGCTGTGCAGCCTCGGACAAATCACTGATGTCTCTGAGCCTCACTTTCCTCCTTTGTTAAACAGAGGCTCTTACCTTCACATTTATTAAGGAATACCAGCATTCCTGGCACACAGAGTAGCTATTTGTCATATTCATACCAATCTATAAAATAATAACACTATAAAGATATGTCAAGAGTGATTACTTACTGGGTGATTTTTGCATAACTTCACCATTGTAAAGGTTATGTGTTTTTTTCCTGAAGATATTTCTTTCCTTATATTTTATACCTAAATTTATGACTTCTGATGGTCTGACACTGGAAGAAAATAATATAGGATAAAATAAAATATCAGCCACGAATAGGCACTTTCAAGCTTTAAATACATATCTTACTTTGACAAAAGAAAATAAACAAAGAAACAAAAAAACCCAACCAGACAAACAAAAAAGCCCTCTATACTGTGGACCTAATTGATGACATTTGTTTATACTAATCAGGCTGTATCTTTGAAGAAAATGGCTGCTAGCCAGGTGATGATATAAAAAGGTAAGAGCCAGAGAGGCCAAGAGGATAGTTAAGCTAAGATTCCCATAGTAACTGGAAAGTCAGAGAAAAAATTATGCAGAAGAAAATTTCACAGAAGCACACACTATTCTTGCCCTGTGTATAAATTAAATGGGCTAACTAGTGGTATGTGTCAAAAACTTATCCAGTGTGAGGCCTGGATCTTCACTTATGGTATCCAAAATGCAAAAAAAAGTTCAGTATTTTTGAGGCTTATCATATGAATCTATAGGAAAACTTCAGATTAGCTTGAATCCATGGAAAAACTGTTATTAAAACAGAGGAAGTGAAATCATTATATAGCTGTACATAATTCTTGTCAGAAAACAGGAAATGGTCTCAACTATATTTAACGTTCACTGCACAGACCTCTACCTCGACAACGACAAGTTGTGTTGTCCAAAATCGTTATTATTCTCTTGGATGCATCAGGTCAGAAAACACACCCATTTTTCACACAATTAATGGGAGCCCTGGGGCCTGCCCTCTCCCTGCTGCCTCCCTTCCTTGCATCTGTTAGCCCTCCTGCTGATTGTTCTCCCACCCCCTAACTTTTATTCGCAGTTCTGCTGCCTCCAGAGTAGCTGGAGAACCTCTAGAGGTTTCCTATACTCTCAGCCCCAATTTCCTGCTTTACACAATGAGATTCTCACTGTGGTTTTAAAGGAGAGGAGATGGATGGCTGTTTGGCGATGTGCCTAATAAAAAACACTATTCAATAAATGTTCATTTCCTTCCTTCCTTTCCCTCTGCTCTATTTGGACTGTATTTCCCAAACTCAAGAGTTTAAAATATCAATACAAGTGAAATTAAGTCAATGTATCTCAAAGTTAATATTGTGTGCTATTTATATAGCTTTAAATAGCAATTTATTGATTGCTTTTTTATACATAAATAAACTTTTCATTTTAGAGTTATTTTAGATTGACAGAAAACTTGTGAAGATAACATAGCACAGAGTTCTGGGATATCCCCTCACCCAGCTGTCCCTATTGTTAATTACTATTTATCACAACTAAGAAGCCAGTATTGGTACATGACTATTAACTAAACTCAATATTTTATTAGGATTTCCCTAATTTTTTCCTAATGTCTTTTTTTCTGTGCCAAGAAATCACATTATATTTAGCTTTCTGACTCCTTAGCTTCCTCTGGTCTATGATAGTTTCTCAGACTTTCCTTGTTTTTTATGACTTTGACAGTTTTGAGGAATACTTGTCAGATATTTTTGTAAAATGCCCTTCAATTTGTGTTTATCTGATGTTTTTCTTAGGGTTAGATGGGAGGAAGTCAATGGAGATGAAGTGCTATTATTACATCTTCTCAAGGGTACATGCTATCAACCTGTCTTATCACTGTTGATGCTAAACTTACCATTGGCCAAGGTTGTGTTTGCCAAGCTTCTACCCTGTGTAAAGTTACTTTTCCCTTCCTTTCCATACACTACTCTCCAGAAGCAAATTTCTAAGCACAGCCTATACTTAACAAGGGGATGACAATGGGAGATAAGCTCTATTTCCTTGACTGGGTGAAGTATCTACATAAATTATTTGGAATTACAGATTTTTTTTAAAGTGAATCTTCGGCATCCAAAGACTAAAGCAGGTGGCATTTTGTCCCCAGAGCACACTGGAATGGTGCTTTCCCTCATGTACAATCCCTCATGAATCAGAACATATTATTTAGTCACTATCTTGGCTTGGAAAACCACTGCGATGGCATCCTTAGAGAGTCATTTTAAGATAGTAAGAGAATCTGTAACAATAAGTTTACCCTTTACAGGAAGGGTAAAATGTAGTACAGTTATGCCTTACAGTTGTTAGGTTAATACTATTTTTCCCCCCAGAAAAGTATTATTGTTATAAACTGACGTACAAACTGTTGAGGGAGGCCTAGAAATAGGGAAGTCTACCTTTGGACTAGATAACACTAGACCTTTATTTTTCCAAGACATTCTGAACTCTTTCCTGCTTTTAGGCCATTTGCTTCTTGGCTCTCTCAACCAGTGATACTAAAATCACTTTGCTTATCTCCACTTAAGAGTTAAATCCACAGAGGGAAAGGGGTGGGCATAAGGTAGGAGAGACTCTCCTGGGAATCACACTAAACTGTACTACTGAGATGACTGCCAAGGAAGGACAGCCATAGTGACAAAGCTCTCACCTCAGGGCAGTTCTATGAACCACTAGACAGCAGGATCAACTTCATATTCAAAGCCCAACTTATTGCTTCCTTTCCTGTAGATATTTGACATTTGGGGGAATGGTTACTATGAAAATGCACACACAACTGGAAAGAGGTGAATATTCCCAAAATTCCAATACTCTTAATGGGCAAAGATAAAAATGCAGAATAATGTAATAAAGGGCTTAGAGCCAGAAGAGGGCCTACTATGGGCTCTGGGAAACTTGCCATCAATTCTATGAGAAAGAGAGGTTCTAACTGATCTCTCACCTCTTGGTTCAGGATATAGAAGGGAAGAATGACATGTGACAAGTCTCCAAGTGCCCTACTAGGCATTAAAGGAAAGCAAAAGCGCCTAGAGTAGTGGCTTATACATAGCAGATACTTGACAAAATGTTTGATCACTTGACTCAGAAACCAATAACTTTTCCATATTGTCACATGATGCTTGTTGGGCAGGCAGTATGGAGTGGTGGCAAAGTACACTGGCTCTGGGGCCAGAAGGCCTGCTTTGGGATCTCTGGTTCACCTCGTGCTGGTGGGTTGACACTGGGCAAATCACTTAACTTTTTTCTGCCTTGCTCTCCTAGTCGTGAGATGGGGATGATAACTGTAACCATTGCCAAAGATTACAGGGACAATTAAATGAGTTAAATACCTAAGGACCTTAGCACAGTGCCTGGAATATGGTAGGAGCTCAGTAAGTATTGCCCACTATCACTTTAAGCAAGAATAAGAAAATATTTTCCACTCAAAGTAGGGAGTTCCATCACCCCCTATGGCCAGCCCTACTACTCTTGGGAACTCTCAGAACGATGAGACAAAAAATAAGGAGATGTGGTACTTTCAAAAATAATAATTTGCTGTACTAGTATTTTTAAGACTTAAATTTTAAAAAATGAGTAGACTTTCATTTGCTTTCATTCGTTATACATGGGCAAAGGATGATTATTGCCACAGATTGTTGGTAAAAGTAGACTGTCAATCCTCCAAGTGTTTTATGTCATATAAGGCCTAATTTAAAATGCGATTTTAATGTTTTGTGTATTTTTTCTTACAGCTGTCCATAAATTTCCTAATTTAAATTCTAACAGAAGATCTCCTGACAGGATAATTAGGTAATCAACAGCATATAAATAATATTAAATATCAGTTCCCTCCTAACCATAATAAGGATTTAGAACATCATAATTTCTCATCTCTAAGAAACATCAATTTTAAGTGTGCCTTCTGTCTTATACAACTTACTGAGAAATTAATGGAAATTTCTGTTTCATTTCCCATCTGATTCTTTTATCCTGGTTTCTAATAATTAACCCTTTCCCCACTTTTGAAATGGCAGCCAAAGTGAAAAGTGTCAGATAACAGAAGGTAGAGTAGACTTGCTCTTTGTTGCCCTAGAATAAAAATGAAGATCGATGAGAGAGAGTTCTACACATGAATAGATCTGACTTAACATTAGAGTCATTCTATAATAAAGGCTGGTTCAATAACAGAGAACACCATATTTAAGATGGTGAGCATCCCATAGGAATTATGGGCTGTGGTTCTCTGAAGGATGTGACAGCAATCGGTCGAGTCTAATACCTCTAATACCTCTTTCAAGTTTATTATTAAATTGTTAAAGATTAATAAACATGTGGGGAAAAAAGTTCACTCTCGCAAATAATCAAAATAATCAACTGAAAACAATGATGAAATACCACGGCAACAGTTTTAGGACAATGACAACATCCGGGGTTGGTTCCAAGGCAGCCGTTTCTATGCACTGCTGGTGGGGGCACCCACAGGTCTAGGGACAGCAACTTAGCAAGATGATCTAAAGGCCTTTGAAATTTTGGACTTGGCAACTCCATTTTGAAGAATTTATTCTGATGATGAATGTCATTGGGTCTTCTAACATGTATACATGAAGGTGTTTAAGAAATGTTTTCCCAAATAACATTTGTAAACAATCTAAATGCTCAAAAAAAAGGAAATGGTTACAGAACTCCTAAGTTCCTAGGATGTCATTACAGATGTGGATGTCTGTGGCCATCCCTGTTAATTCACACAGAAATGGACTCCCTGTGTATTTTCTGAATGATAAAACAGGTTATAAACTATGTATGATAGTCTTCGTTTTCATAAGATATACTTTTGTTTATTTGCTTATTTGCCTGGAACTGGAAATGCCTAAGGGTCAGCACCAGTTTTGCAACAGGTGATTTTTCTTTTTCCTTCTTGCTTATTTGTACATCCAAAATTTCTCCTAAAGAACATGTATTTTTTTGGCAGTAAAGAAATACTCTAGGAGGAGGAGGAGCAAGATGGAGGAAGAGTAGGAGACCTGAATTTCGTCTGGTCCCAGGAATTCAGCTAGATAGGGATCAAACCATTCTGAACACCTACGAACTCAATAGGAGATTGAAGAAAAGAAGAGCAGCAACTCTCTGAACAGAAAAGCGACCACATTCTGGAAGGTAGGATGAGCAGAGAAGTGAATCCGAGGCAATATTCTGGAAGACAGATGGTGGGGGAAGGAGCCTCTGTCGGCCGCTACTGGCAAGTGATAGAGCAGCAGAGCA